TGATTTTGTAAACAACCTGAATTTATTCTCACAAGGATTGGTTTTTTCTCAGGTTTATGATGTCAGACTATGATTCTCATTTTTTTGCAAGGTGTCAGCAAGTGTTGAATCGTTATTGTAATTATGATTTTGAATGTCATCTAACTTCTCCAGGACTTTTGATATCACATAATCTACTGCAGTGATGGCAATCACGGGACTTACTGGACTACCCATCCCGCATCCTTCTTTCTGTATATAATAATTCCTTTGAAACAGGAAATACCCACCAGGAAATATGACTTTCAGTTTGACGCTGCTCATATTTTAGACTATGAATCTCATTTTCTAAAACGTAACATCAGTGAGATGTTTTTCATTAAAGTGTTTGATTGCGTCAACTTTAGGTCTGATACTCAGGGGTTAAGTTCATCATACAGTGACATCATATCAGTGGCTAAAAGATTCATGCAATAATAATTTTTTTCTCTTGGAAAATATTTTTCTTTGAAAGGTGATTTTGTAAAAAATGAAATAGTAAGAATTTTTTATAGGGATTACTTTAAGATAATATTTATTTATTTATTTGACTGAGATTATTTGTATTAATTAATATTTTAAATCATAATCATTTCAAAATTAGGAGTCAGCATAGTAGATTTGAGAAGCACAACTGCGTTTTTACCATTGCAGTTGTTTACACTCAGTCTGTTGCTGTCTGTCTTGAATGTAATTATTGTAATTTTATAACTTATTATTGTTGACTAATTTGTTTAAATGGAATGGAAATTGACTAAATTTTCTTAATATTATGGTTATCACTTGTTCAACTTTATTTATATATTGTAAAACGATGAAATTTTTCGGAAATCGATTTAACCTTAAATGTAAGATTTTTTAATATTTATCTTTTTGTTATCCTTGTCATATTGTTATTAACAATGTGTTTTCTTTTGTACAGTTTGCCTGATGAAGTTGTGAAATACAACGAAACGTTGCAACATTTAAAAAATTTGACACTAAGTTATTTTTTATAGTCCAAGTTCCTGATAACTTTCATTATTGTTTATAAATCATGGATGATAATCGTAGTCATAATAATATATCAACAATGCTAACCTATCAGTTCACATATTATTTTACATACCGAATATCTATGTTCAAATTCAGAATTAAATTAAATGTAAATATTAAAAATAACAAGGTACATTATCAAATAACATCTTTTAACACAAAGAATATTGACGTTACATACAGTTATATAAGTAACTCTGTAATTAATTTCGTGAATAAATGATAATAATGCGAACACAATATCGAGTATCCAGAACACATATATATTATTTTTATATTGTTTGTCATAAATATGAATGAGAAAAAATGTTGATAAAGCAAAATTGAACAAAACGTTATTAAAATCTTCTGTCACTCTTATAGTTTTTTATATTTTTCGTGACACTGAATAAATGCTACTGCACTGAAATGCTACTGCACTGAAAAGAAAAATTTTAAGCGCTTAAGTATAGAATTAGCGGGAAGTTGCAGGGATGGCCTTGAGGGTCAACCGTTTTCCTAATTTTTTTTTTAATTGATAATATATCATAATATTTCAAGTGAAACTTATCAAGTTATCACCTATTTAAATGAAATACCGATAAATTTTATTTATCTTATGAAATTTATTCGTATCGTTCGGTCATGTATAATCATGATAATCAATAAGAATTAAAAACTTTATTTATTATTTAAATTTATGTTTTCCATATACACTGAGAGTTTACACTGTATTTTCTTCCAAAATTATTTGACACATCGAAATATTAATCGAAAATAAATTCATAAAACTTTTTTAAAACCATTCGTCGAGTATAATATTTTTAATAGTTTTTGTAACAAAAAAATATCCATGCAATAGCTGGATTTATTTATAATTACAAGGGTTTAATAACTTTTTCACAGTAATCTTCTATTAGCATATTTTTTACTCTATTCACTAGTTTTAGTTGAAAATATTTTTTTATAAAACTTTTTGTCGATACTAATAAACTGTGAAATGAAGGCAAACTTTTTCAAACTGTAGAGTGTATCAATAAAATAAAGTGAGTGGAAAAAAATTTATTTATCGCGAATTCCCTAGTTCTACTGCACTGTTAGATGAAAAAGTGAAAACTTTTAAACCGCAAAAGCGTTTCCTCCGATGTTTCATCTAAAAGCACTTTATCGTAGTTGTGAGAATAACATAACCTTTGATGAAATAAACGGATTGACAAGTTAATTTTTTTTTGTCAAGTTTCAAGATTTCTTCGCAGTACTTTCAATATTTAAAAGTTATTTTTCTACATGTTAAATCACGTTTCCGGAATCAAGATTTTACTCGACTAAACCATTTGCGTCGCTAATAAAAAAGATATAATTTTCTTAGCCATACTCTCTAAAAATGAAATAGTAAAAGTTGATTTTCCAAAATGAATTGATGAAAATTTCACTAATTCAACTAGCGCATTTAATTCACTATATATCTAGTGTTTTTTACTGAAAACATTTACATAGTTCAATTACTTTGAAAACTTATTATAGTAAATTAAAGATCGCGGAAAATCATATCAAACCTTCAAAAGACACAAATTTAGATAAATATTTTCCAATTATTCTAAATTTAATTTTTAAAAACACCTTTTATCATATAAATACAGCAGAGAAAAAATTTTTCTTATTTTTTCACTTATACAATTAATAAACAAATATCTATTGATACCTATTTTCTCTGTACTTACTTGTAGGATATTGAAACGTTTGATCTAGAAGACTTTAAGTACAACAATGTTAACATGACAGCATTCCGTTTGGTTGATTTGGAAGAACCGAAGGTAGCAGAAGTTCTGAAGCAAATGGAGCGTTTTCAGCCAATCGGGCATGCGATTCTCAATCGTACTGGAGTAATTCAGGTTGGTTAACAAAATTAATGGTATCGTTTGACAAAACACTAACCACACAAATAATGAAGTAAAAACGAGCATCACACTGAAAAAAAAGTTTTTTTCTACCCAGAATACAAAATCCGAACAAAAACAGTTTCACTGTAAAAAAATCGCGCCAAGTCCACGTTCATAAGACTATTAAGAAAAAAAAATTAGTTTTTTTCTTTACAAAAAGATATAAAATAAAAAAATTAAAAAAACATAACTTCGTCATTTCTTTTCAGATCGTTTTTGATGATGGAGAATAATTTCAGAGCTTAAAAAACCGCGTCGATCGCCGCCAAAAACGTGGAAATCGGTTGATTAGTTCGAGAGATATCCTCGACGAAATATTTGGAAATAAGGATTTTTTCAACATAGTCCGACATTTTTTGGAATAATTTTCAAACAGCTCTACCAATCGATTCCAAAAACTCATCAGCTCTTAACATCATAAAACCACATTGATTGCCACCAAGCCGGTCAAAATCGGTTGATTCGTTCGAGAGATAACGGAATATCGTGAACGAAAGAAAACTGAAAAAAGTGTTTTTTCGGGATTACTCCGAAATTTTCGGTTCGATCAATTAATACCTGAAAATAACTTAAGAGGATGATAAAACTGCGTCGAATGGCGTCAACCGCGTGAAAATTGGTTGATCCATTCAAAAGTTATTGCGGTTTGAAAATTCCAAAAATAGTGTTCTATGAAACTTCTATCAGACTTTTGAGCTGGGAGAGCTCAAATGCATAGAAATATTATTTCTTTGAACTCAGCGAGCTCAAAATATCACATAAATTATATTTTGAGCTCAAAAATCTCAAAAATGTCATAAGTACAATTTTAAGCGCCCAGGAATGGAATTAGCGGGAAGTTGCACGGATGGCCTTTAGGGTGAACCGTTTTTCTAATTTTTTTTTTTTAATTTTTTTTCTTAATTCTGCATCAGCGATTTGGGAAATAAAAAAAAAAATAAATAAATTCTGTATAAATAAATAAGAAAATTTTCGAAAAAAAAATGACGAAAAGTTAATTTTGTAAGCAAATAAAAGATTCGTTAATACGGCTTGACTACTTATTAAGCTTGACTAATTTTGTCTCAGAAACTAATTGTTTTTTTGAAATAAGTATATCCATTTGTGCTACACCTTATTTTTAAGTAATCCCTTCTTATGTTACTTCATGAATATCGTTTTTATGCTTAAATGTTATTTATTATTCAAAGGTAGGATGAGTATAATTCAATACTCTTACCATTGAATCCGAATTTTAAAATTTTACTTAATGAGCATTCAATCATTTGTCCTCAACTCCCATTAGCCGACTCGCCATTATTTATGACTACCTGAGTGTCTCACAGCTCCTAAATCTTTCCTCTTCTGCTATTCGTGAGGGTCATTAAGAAAAATTGTATACATGGATAATTTCCATTGTCTAGATATTTTTGACTCAGGGACAGATGTACTTTGTAACTATACCTAGCTGACTATATATAGTCAGCCTAAACAACGTAGATTTCATATTCAGTCACAAATTTTCAGTGCAACAGTTACTAACTTTGTCTTTTTGTAGAAACACGTGTTATTTTCGTTTAACAGTCAATTTAAAAGACAGAAACCACGTTAATCGGAAAACATTTCGTTGGCGCATCTTAATTCTTTTCGATACGTTATATTTGCAGACAATAATTATAAAATTATTACAACGTTATAAGTTAGAGTTTTGATTTTCAATATCCCAGCAATAAACCCAGCAGTTTTGTTTCTTTTCAGCTTTTTTCAGACAGCTTTTATTCTTTTCTTAGTTTTTGACGGAACTATTGTTGTTCAAAATGGTTACTTTCCAAGAAATACGGAGAAAAGTAAGAATAGTAATGGTTTCAATCGCATTACCGGGTACAATTTACTTAACATTGAATTTAATTTTCAAAAGTATACGATACATGATATACGGTAAAAATCGTGCCGTTTACGAATAATTTCTTTGAAAAATTATTCTTAACGTCGTTGGTAGTCGGCTAAAATATTCAAAATAAGAATTAAATTCTACATTATATTGTAAAAATGTCTGTACCTTTCGAAGATCCGATAACAACGTGCCCGATTGATAAATATCATACAGTTTCTAAGTCTAAATTATACAAACATTTAGTGAAGTGCTTGAAAGCGAAAAAGATAACAGATAAAACGATCTGTGTTTACAACCCACGACATATAATTGATATTGACGAGAAAGAGGTAATGTACCAGTATTTAATTAAAAATTTAGTTTGCAACGATTTTATATTTTTTCAATCAACATCTTGCTTGTAATTTTTCATTTCTTCGCCACAGCTATGTGGTGTAATACAATGTAATACTTTGGTTTTTTATTTCTTTATATAAGTGTTTGATTTATTGAGCTTATTTAACAGCAAATCTTATCAAGTATCAGAACTGTGGTTTTCTTTCTGATGTTTTTGATATACTGTTAAAAAAGCGGATTTAAAAAAGATTTAATTTTACACCACTCGGTTTTTAATATTACAAAAAATTTTCAAGTTTTTAAAAGGTTTATTTCTTGGAATGAAAAAAATTCAAATTTTAAAAGAAAAATTAATATTACGCAAAATATCAGATTTTTTAATTCAATTAAACGTTTCAAAAAAATTAAAATTTTTATAAAAAATATTACTATTTCCATTCTAAAAATTTCGACATACTTAATTTTTAATATTTTTCATCTAATTTAATTTTTAATATTTTTAATCTTACTTAATTTTTGATATATTTCATTGTTACAGAAACACATATCGGAGTGTGAGGACAATCCAAATATTTATATTTCGCGGGCTGAGTTATCGAAGGAACCAAATTACTCAGGAGTCCTTCCTGTAAATGAAGCAATGGACGAAGTGGAAAAGGTTCTTGCGACTTTGAATGAAACTAGCCAAAATGAAATAGTATGTTTATTTATTAATTAATTATTTGATTTAGAATGCAATTACTGTTAATAGTATCTTATTAATGGATTCAATTTAATATCTGTTTCAGAATTATATCGATGGTTCGGCCTACGATCCTATAAAGGCTAGTATTGATAGATCTTTGTACCGGCCGCAATTAATTGGTGGGTCCAAATCCGAGAAGAAGGCATTCCGCAAAAAAGAAGTCCAGAGGCGCAAAGCTCTACAAACTGGACGATTGGTAAGATGATAAAAATTAGAGTATAGAACAATCTTAAAAAATTGTGTAAAATTACTTTTAATAACTAATAATTCTATTTTCTTATTTAAAATTTTAGAATGAAGAAAAATGTTGCAGTGGTGAATCAATACTTCACCAGGACCTCACTGGAATCAGCTGGACGGATATCCATATCCAGAAGATATGTAAGAAAAATTATATAGATGCTGCTTCCGATCTAATCAGGAAGTATGACTTATTTTAAGATGATGTCTGATGATAACATGACATACTTCGCCCGCAACTTCCTCTTGTAAAATTATATTTGTACAATTTTTGTGTTTAGTATTTAAGAAATAATTAGTTTTAACTTTTTTGTGTGTTTAGTATTTAAGAACTAATTAATTTTAATTTTTGTTTTTAGTTTATAAAACACTAACCTTGAAGTCTTTATAAAAGAAATAAACTTATTTTTTATAACTATTTAAGTTCATTTTATCTCTATTTTTAGTTACTCCTTATAATTTGTAAACCAAAGTTTGTAACGTAATAACTTATTTGTCTCAATAAATTCAATTAGTAAAACAAAATTTTTTTTACTTTCAATTAAATTCAACTATAAAATAGCATAAGATTTCTATTACGAATAAAATTACAATTAAGCAATAAAATAGGTTACTCGTGACCGAAGTCAGCAGAGATCCGTCACTCTGATTCTCTCTAAGTTAATACTCAGAGATAACGTTCAAGCTTGTGTACCGCTCAACACTCCAGTACAATTTTTATTAATTTTTTTTGAAATTGTTCAGGTCTTGTAATTAAATATTGTAGGGAGTAATCAGGTGAAAAGACCAAAGTAATCCGTTTTAACTATTTATTTTCATAATGCAACGTTTCGTTGGTTTTATTCCAACATCTTCAGGCATCTGACAACAGACAGACAATACAACCAATTAAAAAATTAAAATTTAAAAATTTAAAAAAAAAAAAAAAAAAAATTAATTAATTTGCAATACATTATGTCCAAATTAAAATTAATAAATTAATTCAATTATTCAATACATTATATATTCATATATCAAATAATTAAATCCAATCAAATAAACCTATTACAAATTAATGCATCCACAATTAACAAATGTACTAATAGATTCATTTAATCAATTAATAGAATTTTAATAAATTACACATGTCCAAAATTATATATACCTTGAAAAGTCTGTCAAAACATTGTCAACACTCTGATCATTACATAACAGATTCATGTATAAATTCTTTTATTTAAATATCAATCTTCCAAACTTAGTCATACCATCGATAACTTGCAGAGGGTGCATGGAATGGGTAACTCTCAGCTGTTTACAGTTGAGAGTAACTTGCGTGAGAAGAGGTTGTTGTTAGTTGTTTATTAATAATTGTTTACTTATTAATAGTTTCAATAATCTTTCTTAATTGTAAATTTGGATTTCTGCAAGTTATCGATGGTATGACTAAGTTTGGAAGATTGATATTTAAATAAAAGAATTTATACATGAATCTGTTATGTAATGATCAGAGTGTTGACAATGTTTTGACAGACTTTTCAAGGTATATATAATTTTGGACATGTGTAATTTATTAAAATTCTATTAATTGATTAAATGAATCTATTAGTACATTTGTTATGCATTAATTTGTAATAGGTTTATTTAATTGGATTTGATTATTTGATATATGAATATATAATGTATTGAATAATTGAATTAATTTATTAATTTTAATTTGGACATAATGTATTGCAAATTAACTAATTTTTTTTTTAAATTTTTAAATTTTAATTTTTTAATTGGTTGTATTGTCTGTCTGTTGTCAGATGCCTGAAGATATTGGAATAAAACCAACGAAACGTTGCATTATGAAAATAAATAGTTAAAACGGATTACTTTGGTCTTTTCACCTGATTACTCCCTACAATATATTCCAGAATATATACTAGAATATATACTTTTTCCGTGGGGGTCGTTCGACAGAAGAGCTTACTCACTGGAAAGCTTCGGAACTGAAAGCATGGTTTTTTTATTATTCAGTTCCCGTATTGCATGAAGTAATGAGAAATGATTTTTTTAATCATTTATTATTATTGGTTTGCGGCATATCATTTTTAAGTGCAGATTCTATCTCTGAAAACATGCTGGAGCTTGCTCGAATTTTTCTTCACAAATTCGTTAGACAATTCCAAGAACTGTACGGACAGCAATTCTGCTCGATTAATATACATCTAGTACAGCATCTTCATGAATGTGTCCAAAACTTAGGACCTTTATGGGGATATCAATGCTATCAATATGAAGATTTGAATGGACGAATTTTGGCAATTATTAATGGAACAACCCATATCGATTCACAGATCGTTACTGCTCATTTTCAGTTACTCAAAATGGAGAAATATAGAAATCAACTCCCGGATGGTGATGTTCGTGACTTTTGTTTTGGTCAAAAGAAAAAATTAAAAATAAACGAACGAATATTGAATAATTGTTATAGTGTCGGAGCTTATGAAACGATTATTCATACTGATTTGCCTGATTTTGTGCAAGAAGCAATAAGATTTTTATTACCAGCACGACGCATTCGCAAATATTTACGATTATTGAAAAATAGTAAAGTCTACGTTTCAAAGGAATATTCAAGAAGTCTAAAAACTGAATCTTCATATGTTACTTATCAAAACAATGATGGTACCATGCATTATGGGTCCATTTTTTGTTTTATTTAAATAATTAATTGTGAGTGTGAACCTATTAATGATTGCATCTGCAATAACTTACACTATGCGATTGTCAAAAAAATCAGACTTGTTGATCATTTTCAAGTAAATAGTGATAGTGACATTAATTGTACTCTTCCTTACCTTCACAGATGTGAAGAATCAGATGATTACATCACTATCCCTGTTTCTTCTTTAGAACATGTTTGTTTCTATATTTTAGTTAACAATTATATTTATTTAAGTCAGCCAATAAATGAAAAAGAGTTGGAGTAAAAATTTTTTCATTGTTTTATTTTTTTGCCTGTTTGTCAAGCTTAGCAAAATAAAAATTTCTAAGTTTTAAACTCTGTCTCAACCTGGACGGTCTATAAACCTGTAATAATCACACCAAACCCTAGCTCAACCTGATTTTGGACGTATCAGGTTGAAACGGAGTTTAAGAATCCAAACTAAATTTCGCTCCACCCTGACTCCAGGCAAGTTAGGTTGAAACAAAGACTTAATATTCAGATTAAACTCCAGTTCACTCTACTTCACCCTTATTTCAGACTAGTTAGGCTGAGACTGGTTTTTAAATCAAAGCGGCAAACGTCCAGATCAAAGGAATCAGTGTCTACAAGGATCAGCTCGGGGATTATTTGTGAATAGAGATATAACTGAGTTAAAAATTCAGTGAATAGACTTGAAAATGAATACGATTGAAACTGAGGAAAGTTATAATTGACTACTGTTGAATTTGAGTAAGGTTGTAACTGATTAAAGTTCTACCTGAAGGCAAATAATATTGAAAAAAGTTGAATCAGAGTAAAGATTTAAATGAATAAAGTTGTGACTGAATGAAGATGATTTTGAATAAAAATGTAATTGAGTGCAGATGTCGTTGATGGCTGTGAGTAGAGATTTTATGAGTAGACCTGTAACACAGCCGATGATGGTGATGATGATGATGATGATAATAATGATGATGATGGTGATGATGATAATGGTGATGTATTTCGCGGAGTGAGTTCTCAGTATTTGAATTTTTTTAATTTTAATTCTTATGAAAGTTTGAATTTTTTCTTACACTCGCAATCGAACGCGCTTTGCGCGCTTCTGTCAAAATTTTTATTATCGACAATTGAATTAATCAATATTTTTACAAATTTTGCTCATTAATATTTAATCGTTGCCATGGTAACCGTTGCTATGATAACCATTGCCAAAAAAGGTCATCATAGCAACGAAAAGAGACAACAATAAAAAAGCACATCAACTTTTTAATAAAGGATTCTATTTCAAAATTTGATTTTTTTTTTAGGAACCCGAGGCGGCCGGTTGGTAAAATAAGGCCAGAGGGCTTCCTGATCTTGAGATGGAGTCATCGGTGTCGAGACTTGTGAAGGCCAGAGTCTTACCACCTACACCGAGGAGACTATATGCCCCATAAAGACCTGCTACGGCTTTCTCGAGTTCGGCAATTTCTGGTAACCCAACACCTATGGATGTGGTGGAGGCTGCAGCTGTTCCAACCTGGAATCCGATAGCTGTTGACACTCAGGTGGCGTCGACGTCGACGTTCGTGCCTTCTGAATGCCCACCCGACATGACACCTGCCTTCACCGCATATCGTGCTAGCCAGTATAAAGAGGCCCTAGAACGTGCTGTTAGAACTGACCACATGGAGATCGGCACCCCTCGCGCAGAACTCATGCATTGGCCTGAAGAGAGTGACGTGCCGATACCGAGGAAGACGTCCAAGAGGAAAAAGAAGAAGAACAAGCGAGGTCTTCGGGGGCCGAACTGGAGCGAGATGGAGATTGGAGGCCTAGGCGAGCCCATATCAGAGGACTCGGGGGTGGATGGTCTTAAATGACCTGGGTAGCGACGAGGATGTTCTGGATTTGAAGTCTTAAAGTTATTCATAGGTCGAAACTCGCAAAAATTTTTATTTGAGATAAAGATATGGTTTATTCAGTATATTTATTTAAATCAAATAGTTATTTGTTTATAGTTAACAAATATTTCTTTAATACTTTAAAATCATTTATTTCAGTCAAATCAGATTTGTTAACTATAAACAAATCTGATATTTGAATGTCGATAAAGAAATCATGCTCTGTAATATAGTAAATAATATCTGGCATATTTTCAGGGTCATGAAAGCAGTGAGGATGAGTTTATTTATATAATTTATATTGGGGTATCTTCTAATAAAGTAAAATTATTAGATCCGAGTTGGATTTTGATAGTTTTTTTTTTCCCATTATTAAATTCATCAAAAATTTATGTATTTATACAAAATTACTCAATTATAGTCGGCAAGGATAAAGGTATTAAAATTACGATAACTCAAATACGAACAGTAGCGACACAAACGTCTTATGATTTAATTCAAACAAGATTTGTGAACTATTAACAAATCTTATTTGAATGAATATGAGCAAATTCAATCAAGTAAACCAAAACGAAATAGTATATCTCGAAAGATTTTTATGTCGAACCTATTTAATATGTTGGAAATTCAAAACTTTGTTAAATTTTTATTATTGCTAGTCACCATTCAAGGTCTTAAGAATGAATACTTTTGAAATATCAATATAAAGAGTGATTTAAATAATAACAGCAATAAATATAAAATAATTTAAATATGAAATATTGTTAAAAATAGTCATTATCCTCCGAGACGACACGACAGAATGAATTTGGAGATATTTAATGGCACGAAGCAATATTAAAGTGGCATAAAAATGAGAAGTAATTTGTATTTGGCTTAAAAACTCACCCTCTATAGGAACTTACTACCCTCTCTAATACCATCAAATTCACCCTCAAGAACCACCCACGTGTCATTTTACATTATTAATATTAATAACAAATATTAATAATGACGTAATGTCATGCTAAGAAATCTCAACCTATTAATTTGAATATTGTCACAAAAATATAAATGAAGCATATAGAATATAAAAAATAGATGGATACACATTTTTGTTTGTGCTAATACTACAAAATGACAAGGCAGCGAAGAATAGACATGAAATGTGAGACTTGAAAAATTTTTTTGATAAAAACAAGTTCTTGAAAACATTTCCACTGTATCCCACTTTCTAATGCTGTGCACTATGAGTTATGCAATCCAGTTAACGATTCATGTATTACAAATGATAATAAAAAGTCATGGATGCATTATCTTTCATACGTATATTGATATTTATTTAATACATGCAGGAGGGTAATAATCATGATAATATATTTGAGATCGTAACTATTCTCGTTTATTTAATTATTTACATAAAAATTAACAATTTTATTTACATTAATTTCTAAATTTTTTATCCACACTTTATAATTAGAGATTTGGCTTGTTGTACAAACATTTTGGATCCGTACTAAAAAATAAAAAAATTTTAGTGAAAATTAAATCTCATTTCTCTAAAACGAAGTATGTAAATTCAACATAATCGAACCGTAAATGAAATAACTTATTATCAAAGCCCTGTAGAAATGATTAGAATAAGGCTGATAAAAGAATCGATTAGTCGTTTGTAATCACGAGAGTAAACTTACAATTATAAAATATAATTATCATAGATGAACGCTATGATAAGCACCATATTTTAGATTCTGATGTCCTGGTTATCTTCAAATAATTAATTACAATTTTGATTTATGGTTTTTCAAATTTCATGTTAGATACACCACCTTTATCGGCGCCTTAGACATTTTATAATTATTCTGATAACGTGTTCATGAAAAAAATTTCATTCATCGCCCTAGGGAAAGTGATAGGCGATAGTTATTATTTAACACACTTTTATTAATTTGACCTGTATGGGTTTATGTAACGACATGTTTGTGCGTCATTTTTACCGACTTTAAAACATCATCATAGTTTAAAAACGTGTGTTCATATTAAGGGCTGATAATAAAAAATTATTCAATAACTTTAATTTAGTATCTTCATAAGAATCATCAGGAGAAAAAAATATCTAAATTGTTCTATAATTTAATTAATGAATCAATGGTGTATTTACCTCAAAAATGATTTAAAATCACTTATTGAACATGGTGACCATTTGAATCGATTTGAACTTTTACTAAGAACAGATGCCATTATGAATCCGTCTCTGTCGCTGCAAGGGTACCTATTATCATGTTGAGCGCCAAGTCTGTCATAAGTAAAATGAAGTGATTTAATATTTTTTCATTCATGAGTAGAAGGGAGTACAAAAACCAATAAAGGATAAAAATAATTACAAATGTCCGATTTCATGAGCAGCTACCGGAACACCGGCAAAATATCCGTCGTCGAAAACTATAGCGTTATTTTCCCTTGTTCTGTAATAGTGATTGACCTGACATACTTGCCCGATATATGAGATACCAGCACTACTTCTGTATCCCGACGATGTCCATTTGGTACGTTGTTCTCGTCTTAAAATTTTGAATTATACGTATGAACTTAATTCTTATTTATACAATTGATTGGTAAAGAGCCATTATGAATTCTTACGATGTCATTGTAATTGCAAGATCATAACTGTCTAAAGGAAAAATTTCTTGGTTTTTATATAACCACTTAGCGTTGTTAGAAAGAAAATCTTTGAATTCGAGGCTTCGGGAAATCCACCCATAGATAGGATCCTTGTAGAAATATTCAAGGACTTCTCCGTCCTAAATAGCGTAAAAATACGATAGAGATTGGGATAGTATAAGATTTTTTATTTATGCACAAAAATATTCGCTTTTGCCGATTTACAACAAAACACAATTGTAATTAAAGCACATGTTGCGACGTGCAACAAATGTCATTTAGCCGACGGATTAGATAATAGTTTAAAGTACTTCGTTACTTACCTTAGGTAGCACAATTCCGGCAATATTTATTTTGTAGAGCGGTCGATTTAACGCTCGATACAGTATATCGACTTGGTTCCAGAAGGTTAGAAGATAATTTATGATGTTAGCTTGTCCGATTTTATTTAACAGTGGGTAGTCAACTATGATTAGAACTTCTAGGTACAGAGTATCTGGCACTTCAACCACTCTATTATTTTGCTGTGGTGCTGCTGGTACCATATTCCATGGTATTACAGCTGAAAATTTTAATTAGTAGATTTTGGATTTGCGCGTCAAAAAGACATGGATATAGGTGTGAATTTTATTAAGGGGGTATTCTGGTCTAGAAATTTGAAAAAATTCCTTTTTTTTTTATTTAATATTTTCAAAGCTTAACTTAACGCGTTTTTCTCGAAACTGTCTTTTTAAAACGATACCCACGATTTCTCAAGTTCTACTGAACCGAATTACTTGAAATTTGGTGTAAGTCTTCTTTATAGGCTTCTCTATCGCATGAGCTTTCCTCATCCCTAAATTTCAATATTTACTATTTTTAAAAAATTCGGAAAACAAATAAGGGGTACAAAAATTATTTTTTTTTTTTTCAGGCAGTTGCGATTTTGTGAAAAAAAATTTATTTTTCAATTGTTTCTTTAGTTAGTACAGTAGCGGCATTATTCTAAATTAATAATTTTTTTCCCAGATTGCTAGGAGGGTTGGAATCGTGGGTATGGTCGCGTGCCAATTTTTTGAAGCTCCCCACTTTATTAGCTGCTAACTTTTTGAATTTTATATTTTTTTTCTGTATTCTTGAAATATTAATGAATATCTCATAAAAAAATGAATAGTAAAAATATTAATTGCCTTTTTTTACGACACTTCAAAAATTACCTTAAATTCAAGCTTCTACACCAGGGTACCCCCTTAACAATTTTTTAAAAGTACTATTTTGTCATAGAGTTGACTTTAAAAAAACGACTTACCATCATTGTACCCAGTCATTAAATTATTAGATCGATAATATATGTATTGATTGGACAGACCGTTTCCAAAGTTCAACATACTGGAAGGTTGTTGTACATGTTGCAATGAAGCTGGGAGTATTGTTAAGTTTGCAGTTCCAATATTCGCGCTCTAAAAACAGAAATAAGAATTTTTTCAGCAACTTATCTATCAAGAAAATTTACAAATTTTACTCGTATAGTCCTTGATCCATCGGAGAAAGTATCAACGGTGAGAGACGCAAAATGATCGAGGTCTTCGTATATAGTCCTTTGAAACGCGACGGGTTTCTCCTAGAATATAAGTTATTGATTAATTAATTTATATTAAGACTAGCTTTTTACTGATTTTTGGAAACCATTGATCGGAAAATTACATCTTGAGCCATAGTGAGTGACTGTAGGTTATCCTTGGAAAGTTTGTAAATACGAGTAGATGCTCCGTAAAGAGAACTTGATCTCTTCTGAAGATTCAAATTTATTGTTTCACCGTAAGCATTTAGTTGTAAATTAATATTCTCATTTCCCAGAGAACGTGCATGTCGTCGTGGAAAATTGATGACTCCCATTTCATACTGAATATCTAGACATTAGAAGTGTTAATCTAATATTCAAGTTGTAAAATCTATATGATTACAAGAATAACCAAAATGTTGTTTCTGCATAAAGAGAAATTTTTTCTAATTTCTACAATAATGAATCAATTGACTTTTTACTTACTACTTAATCCACTTTCAGGGATTTCAATCAAAAATTCAGATTGAACCTGCCAATTACAAAAGCTATTAATGATCACTTACTTATCAAACTATATTATATTCGAAAGAAAATATATTAAACAGTCACTTACCAATTTCAACACCACTACAATTATTAATATCAACTTTATTTTACAAGGCGCCATTATATCTATTCTTCGAATTCAAAGAGTAGTTCCGATTATTGAGGTATTCAATCAAAGACCGTAATAGATTTTTTGTACTATACCTTATATAGTGACACTTATCATTCTATTAATTACGACCGTAAGTTAATTACTAATATATATTGAAACTAGTTCAATATTATTTATGTCAAGTACTTTCAATTCGTGAACTCAATTGTTTTAATTATAAAATTAATGTTTGAATGTCATTGCTTTCAATTTTCTGTATATTTTTTAATCATAGCTTAAAGAGTCGCATTATAAGCAAAGGTGTTGTTGGTACGTAATAACTTCTTCGTACGTAAGAAACAAATAATTAGTCATTTTTGTTATGTTCTGGTTTAATTAAGAACTTTATTAACATTAAAATAAAATATAATAGTTACAATCAATAAATAAATATATATCTTTGGTCACAATTGTATTGATGAGTATGCATTAACAAATATTTATATTTTTTCACAATTAGCTCAACCTTCGGTCCTAGTAGATCGATTAATTATTGTCCTTTCTCGATGGCTCACATAACATACATTTTCTGTACATATTTAGATGTTCGGTCGGTCAGACATACACGTTGGATTATCTCTGTAACCATAAAAAAAAAGAAAAATGATTATCAAAAGTGAAAAAATTTGGAAAATCTAAAAGTGTTACGTCTCATAACTCATTCATTTTTTTTGAAAAAATAAATTGTGTAATTGATGTTTAAAAGAAAAAAAAATAATTAAGTAATCTCTTATAGAGTATTTTCTATTTTTTTTTAATTATTGGCATCTGTTTTTCTTGTCATGTGCGCGAGCAGTCTAAAAAAAATCTAGCTTGATTAAGTGGCGCCATAATTTTCACGTAAAAGAAATAGGAAAAGTTCTTTTGTTTTCGTACATGTGTATCATAGTAAATTTCAATAAAATTCATTATAAAAAAAAAATACGTAAACTAGGCTACTAATATGAAATACGGTACCAGTTTATCGAATTTTTGAGCTAATGAAAAAATCCGGGTCTCTATATATGATTTTGTTCGGGAGTAATCGGTGGTATCTACAAAATGAGCGTTCACGTAAAATTTTTTCCGAAACGTTTTTTTTTTTTTCGAAGTAGCAACATAAAATAATTTTAAAAAAGTATTAAATGGTTTACTTCAAGTGTTTTCTTGATGTAAATCTACTCATATTATTGTATAAGTACAATATGGTTGTAATAGAAGCATTTTAAGATCACAAAATTGCTTGACCTTGACGAGGCAGGAGTAAAATACTACCTCATGCGCTTCGCGCTATAAGGCGTGCAAAAAAATTTACCTCCGAAAATCCTGAAATGCTTGTGCTGTACACTGTGACCATTCTAGGTGAAAATTCGTATGATGTGATGTTGCTGCCATGATATAATTTGCTGGGCCAGTACATATATCATCATCGTGATCAGCTCCAAATCTAAAAAAATTTTTGGAATAATTACTATTGTCATTGCTTATGATGAAGAAGATGAAGTAAGTATAAATGAAGTAAAAAATACTTACAAGTGACCAACTTCATGGGCTGCTGTGATGATACTCGTGTAGACTCCAGCATCTGCCACAACACCAGCTTTGAGTACTTCCTGGCGATAGTAATCAGTTACACAGGCAGCACCTTTGAAAGCTTCACCATTGACACTAATTGGTCCCCGTTCTGAATTATATTCAGGTACTGTTTTTTTCCTGATGACAGAAACATATTATATTATGTCACTAGCTTTAGTATCTTTTAAAAATTCTAATTATGGTCATTGATATCTAACTCTAGTTATGCAAAAAAAAAATATAACGAATAAACAAATGTAATAGATTCTTACAATATCATTGTTATCGCCAGATCGTAGCTGTTGATGGGGGTAATGTGATTGTGGTGAAACAACCATTTCTTGAAAAACTTCAGTGAAATGTCTACGTCCACATTCAACATGTCGTTGACGTAAAATGAACTATCAGACAAATATTTCAATGAATCCGGACCCTATTAGACATTTACAAACAGAAAAAAAAATCGTTAACTTTTAAAATATATTTTCACATCATCACAATTAAAAATTTCAAGGTAAATACAGTTATATTAAAAATAAATTAATAAATGTATTAAACGAAAAAAAAAATTGTGGGAAAAGTTACAATCATCACATCGTAATCCAGAACCAGATTTTCATTATCATCATTTTCATATTTTTACATATTAAAACTTATCATAGTATATTTTGAAAGTGATGATGTTGTAGTCGGGTCCTGGATTACTTAACAGTTGTAATTTTTCCTACAATTTTTTGTTTTCAGTGCAGTCTGGTGGCAAATATAGTCTCATGTGGTCCAATATGTCAGTATACAATTTTTTTTTTCCTGATGCACCCACATATAGCTTCATATAAGTATTAGCCATATCATGCTACATCAGGACATGTCAGACTTGACTATAAACTTAAATCTTAAGACCAAAAATAAAATTAGTTTTTTAATCATCCGAACAAAAAAAAAATATTACCGTAGGTATAACAATTCCCGCGATGTTAAATTTGAATTGAGGACTTCTGAAGCCTCGGTAGACCATGTCAATTAGATTCCAGCGGTGCAGCACGTACATCAATATTTTATCTTCTCCAACATCGATCAATAATTGATAATCGACGACGACTAGTACTTTTGGATAGATAATTTCTGGGGTCCGGGACTCTTGTTGCAATCTCTGATAATAGTTATACGCTGTTGATAAAAAATTAATCAATGGTTATTTAATGAATATTATTACTGATTAATTATCTTCTATAAGAGATGTTTTTTAACGGTCATACTTACGATAAGAAAGATAGTCAGGCGAGCTATGGGTGTGAGGCATTAGGTAATTTTCATTCAGAAAATACTCCTCGGTAGTACGTTCGTCTTTAAACTTATAAAATTGATACGACTGGTTCTGTAGGTTCCAAACAAACAGTACATTTTCTGAACCGATGAATCCTCCCTGGAAATATAAATTTTTTGTAAAAAAATTGGTAAATTCATATGTATCTTAATATTTGAAATCGTTTAAACAATAATTTTCTTACGTAAACTTTTCCATTCCCATCAGGAAGAATTTCAATGGTCACCGATGCAGAATGAGAGACTTCTTCGAATATTTTTGTGTTTGCAAATTTATTCATGTCCTTAAATATAAGAATATTAAATCATTTACATTATTAATGGTTAGTTACAAATACAATTGAGAAAAATACTTTTTTCAAGTGAAAAATTTTTCATTCACTCAATTATCAGACATTCACAAATTCTAAATTCTCACGTAGGACGTGACTAATTTTAAATGAGCGTGACGCTAACTATACGCCCTTTTGGCTCTCCAACTAAAAGTTAATGAAAAACAATTCTTTTTCTCACAATCAACTTAGAAATCTTAAAATTGTAATCTTTTTCCGAATTTACACAAACTCTCAATTTTCATGGGTAGAAATTTAAGCCTTTCAATTTCTAAAGCAGAAAGTCAAAAAACAAATGTAACCCTTCACAATAAATTTTCACACTTGGTTTTACAGATACAGGCGAGGGTATAATTGAATGTATCCCTTTTTGGCTTTAGTAATGCGAAAACTTGACACTCGAAAAATTTTGCTTCATCATCACACAAATAGTATATTACATACCTAGGCCAGTAAAATAAGAAAAGTCTCAGACCACATGTAATTGTTGGCCGAGGCGACAAACATGTGGTCTGAGGCTTTACTTTTTACTGGCCAAGGTGTGTATACTATTTTTCTGCTCGACGTAGCCGGAATGTGGCAACTTTGTTTAGCGCAGCGGCCAGAAAGTTGCCACTTTCCGGCTGGAGGGCAGAAAAGATAAATACTATAAATCTTTACTCACATTATTGCCGTCTACTCTGTACGTCACATCAGCAGCTCTGAAAAGCCTATAAACTGGCGTAGTTGAACTGAAAAATGCACCTTTTCTTTCTGTCAAAAACAAATTGATCTCTTTTCCAAAAGCTACGAAGCTGACTGGAAATCCATCAGTTGTTGATCTCTTATGCTGCGATGAAAATCTAACTTCACCTTTTTCACAATCTGCACCTGCAAATAGCCATATTTTTATTTTTAAAAAATTATTTTTGTGAATAATTTTAATTTCAATCATCCCTTTACACTTAGACACTAAACACTAATAATAACTGTTCATATATTCAATTTGAACAATAAATATAATTTTAAAATATTATAAGTATTATGTTAAAAATTTCACATCGGGTCATTTACACTGCATTAATTTTAAGAAGTTTTCACAGTTTAATATTGAACTTTTTCACAGTATATTAGTAAACATTGAATTATCAAAAACACCAATATCTTACCTTTTACTCTCTCCCCGTCGCATTCTAAGCTGTTGAACTTTATCTGAAAATTTAAATTAACTAATTGAAGATCTATATTTTTCAAAAAATTAAATCACGAAATAAACTAAATTTCAACTCACTTGCGCAGGATAAACAAATGACAATTTACTGACTAGCAGCCAAATAAAAATAACTTTAAGTCCGAACATCTTGCACCCGTCTGTAACAACAACTGACCATAAACTAACACTGTATTATGGTGCGGATATTTGTGCACTCTTTTAAGCGTTTTTGACGACTCACCGAAGGTCATTGTCACGTACCTCCGAAACGTCAATTAAGGGACCCAAGGTGCGCTCGGAGCGTTACCTATCGTATTTTGTAAAGTGTTGTCATTAAGGTTCGTATTGTTAATGATTTTTCTGAAAGTATGAAAAATGCCATCGGATGAGTTCGACGACTATCAGATAATACAATTTTCAATTTTGTTTGATGCTATCACACTGTTTCTTTTTCCTTATAGTTTTTTAAAGTATTGGTGTTATCAAAAAACAACGTTAAAATCAGCCGATTTGTTCGAAAAATATTAATGTAAAGTAATTTCAAAAAAAGTATTTTATCATTAAAAAACAATTAAAAAATTTTTCGTTAGATCATTTTTTAAATAGAACGTTATCTTTAAGTGATTGAAAAACAATTTAACGCCCCACACTACATCTCAAAATTGGGTGATCTATTCCGGATCCTTAAATAAAATTGGGATGAATGTATATGAAGTCAATTTATTGATGTGATTGGTCGAATATATTATAAGCATAAAAATATATGCAAATTCTATATTTAGGTGCGCACTTGTGCGCGCATATTACATTCTAGTACATAAAAATTCAAAATTCTCAAAAAAGTGTCTTACTATCACAGCACCTTAATTTTTGAGTTCCTAGAGCTCAATATTTTTAACTTCTCGCTAAAAATCTCATATTTTCAAAAATCGGGAAGTTATTGTTTTCACCCCGTTTTACAAAAATCGAGTTTTCATCAGATCTCGACGTTTGAAGGTCACAGGAAGCTTCCCTGACTATTTTTACGATGATGTCCGTACGTCTGTGTGTGTGTGTGTGTGTG